TTCGTCCTGACCACGCGTGTAACGCTCACGGAGATTGGTCTTCAAATCCTTGTACTTCGGATGGAAAGCGTTGTTCACCATAATGTAGGCCTGCAAGATTGTCGGACCTTGCTGGCGCCACGCTGTTTTCTGCTCGCTGGTCCAGTTCTTCTCAGGGTCGAATCCAGGGAGCGTATCCATGAATTGGTTGAGCCAATGCGGCCCAAGGTATTTCGCCAATGTGTTGAAGGTATCTTGGACACGGTAACCAAAAGTATCGGCTGATTCGTGTTCTTCCTGCTTGATCGCCACCAGATTGAATATCGCTTTTGTCAAAGTAGCGAATGCATAGGTTGCACCAGTCGGATCGTGGCTCAGCTTCTCCAATCGTAGGAGCAAAGCGACGGGATCCTTGTCCAACTTCGACTCGAAATCTTCTTCCGACTTGAGTTTGTCAACCATTCCTAGCGTGCAGTACTTCGTCTGAATGAGTGTCACCATTCTGGTTCGGTTGAAACCAATCTTGCGCACTCTAGCCCTCCATTCTTTCATCTCGGAGTCATAGTTCTTGGCGAATGCATTGTTCTGGAGTTCCTTCTTTTCCGCATCCTTCTCCTCGGAGTACTTCAACTCTGGCTCGTCAAGTTGAATCGTCTTCAACTCTGTAATCTCGTACTGAATGTCTTGCGGGTATTCGTATTCCGCACACTCGTGTTTCAGTTTCTCTCTGATCAGCTTGGAGGACGCATACTGTTGCCTTCCGGACGAGTTGGGTGCATACTTGTACTCCACTGTCGTCGTCCGCCTCGTGTTGCTGTTGCTGTTGTTGTTCTTCTTCTTCGTCGACCCACTCCTGCCAGAGCCGTTGCCTCTGGTCTTGCTCATGATGGACGACTTGTGTTGGAAACTTGCGGACAAAAGATGCCGTAGCTCTCCAACCGTAGCTCAAACGAAGTTATCGTTCTTCGATATGAGTCCAGCGCGTCGATGCGCACCTATAGGGTATACTTGGACGCGTCACTATGACGTCACTCGGACGTCTTATGTGACACTGATGACGTCACTATGACGTCGCTCGGATGTCTGATGGACGTCACTCGGACGTCTGATGTGACACTGATGACGTCAGCAAAAAACGTCACGCGATGATGTCACGGGATGACGTCACCAAAAAACGTCACTGATTCCCGTTCCGAATCCGAATTCCGATTCGAGTCAGATGAGTCAATTTGACTCAATGGACTCACCAGGTGTCAGCGAGTTTCTTCGATCGATCGAAAACGAAAGAAAGGAAAAGAGCGACAATGGCCCTTTTATGCCGTTCGATTGGTAACACCTGTAGCTTTTTGTTGTTATCTGTTGATGGTAGCCTATCCAGTGCACTCCTGCGCACACGTGGATATCCTTGGCTTACCTGTAGACGGTCGGAAAGGCTCCGAATCGACTCGATGAGCCGGTTGCCGGTCGCCTTATGTCACTGTTGTCTACTATCCGTTCGGAGGCTTCTAGAGCTCCGTTTCGGCTTGTTCCTTCGCTCACAGAGCACCTGAAGGTCTGTATTATTGTAGTAGTAACTGTGTAAACAGCCTTTTCTTTTTAGATGTTGATTAAACACTAGAGAGACTGTTTGGCCATGGTGAGCTATTTTAAAAGTCAGTCTAAAAAGAAAAGTGAGGAATCGTTTTGGTGGTCCAGTCGATTTCGAATTTCAGTCCCGGATACTCATGACTCAACAACTAGAGTCAAGCCACGAAAGAGGTAAGAGGAAGAGGTGATCACGTGACCAGCCTCCTATTCTACTCCATCTTTCTTCATCCTCCTATACACGTATCTACAGTATTGTCCGCTCGAACGCTCGAGCGAACTGAAGCACAAAGACACATATCGTGGTGGATGAGGAGCTTTCATCGGCGGCACACTTGAAAATGAGCGAAAAAACAGAGGAGAATCGCAACGATGGGCCACCCGCTGACAGCATTGATGGTGCCACGGTGGGTGGGGATTCCCCCTCCATCAGTCCCAATAATGCGAGAGCTTCAGCGAGCACAATGCACAAGGATCCGCTCAATCTCGGCATCCCTCTACCGGTCTTGGTGATGTCCACTCCCATCAACGCCACAGCCGGGGACGATGATAACCGCAATGAAGGTAGTGCTGAAGCGGAAGATGTCGAGGACTGCGAGTCGAAAGAAGGTCATGTTGCTAGTCCCATTGCCAGTACCAAAGAAGCCAAAATGATGGGTGGACGTGTGAAAGAATTGAACAGTATAGCGGCTGAGGACGCGATGAAGTGCACCTCTGGTGATGCCGAGTTATTAGAGTGTAGTCTAAGGAGCAGATTTGCTCTTGACTCTGCCACTGATACAGCCGCACTTGATGAGATGGTGGCAAGTGCCACTGCTCTGTCGATGTCGGAACCGGGGGGATACGCGATCGGTGGACCTGGAGGTGCTTCTGGACACGCGGGGACTGATGACTCCAGCTATGATGGAACCGCAAGCCCAAGTGAAGATCTGGAAGACGGTATCTCAAGGCGGGCAAGTCCACGAGAAGCCTCATTCTGCCGAGACAGTAGTACACGTCCCACAAGCGTCTCCAATTTGGATTCATCAGACTACCTGGTGGAGGCAACACTTGTGACAGACCAGCAAGGGCAGCCTGTGGTCCAGGTGGATGCAGAACCTGTACGCAGATGTCCATTTTACGCCACTGCTGGATCGTTGGTTGCCCTCTTGGTTGCTCTAGTGGTACTATCGGTGGGACTGTCAAGTGCTTCCAACGACTCGTCAAACTCTGATAATCCCATTCAAGCTACAAAAACGATGAGTCCAACTGAAGCTCCCTTGCCAACTCTTGAGCGTATTCAAAGGAATGGGTATGTCAGGTGCGGGAGTGGCATACAGTTTACTCAGCTTTTTGCTCATATTGACACCATCAGCAATCAGCACTAGCTTTCTGGGAAGCAATGCTACTTCAGCTGCAAGTGGTCGTGGCGCCATGGACAATGATTTTGCCACCAGCCTTGTAAGTGCCCACTTTAATAAAGCTTTGTTGCTTGTAATTTCGTTTGGATGCAAAGCATCTAATGATTGTTTGCGCGGCCACACCACCAGTGTGCTGCCGTCGCTGCAGCTGTGCTAGACGACCCGTCTGCTATTCAAATGGTGGTTCGGAATGAAACAGAACAGTTTGAAGCTCTTGACGGCGGTGAAATGGATTATCTGATTAGCAGGATAGGGGTTACGATGAAGCAAGACGTCTACGAGGTGTGCATAAGGGTGAAATTCGGTTCCTCCGCGAAAAGGTACGACTGCAGAGGGCCATCGGCGTCAAGAACTTACCGTTGCTGTGTTCCTTGTCGTTTCCAGGGAAGGTCGGGAAACGGGCTTGCCTACACCATGCCTTACCTATATTCAGGGGTTGGCTTCACAGGTATAGTTTTGTGATCATTTAGAGCTGCAGTGTCCAAATCGCACTAGTCTGACATCTGATGTCCCCTCCTCAGGTCAACCCGAATATGTGGAGTGTGCTGATGACAATATCAAAACATTCCAGAATTGCAGTGATATGATCATTTGTATCCACGAAGATACTTTCTTTGCTCAGCAACTCTTGCTCCGAATCCCCCAGCGGCAAGTCATGATCCTCAATTCAACTCTAACACTCTTTACTAGCTTGCTCTTCG